GATTACATTTTCAATAATATTTTCAAAACTCGTATAAACTCAAACTAAAATTGAGCATTTTGTAAACATTCTTTTATTTTTTTCCCCCCATTCCATCCAGGCCAAATTTGTTTTGTGAATTCAGTATACACAAATACATTCAACTTAACTTTACATCAGGCCTGGGCGGAATTTGTGTTTTAATAACAACTGGATGCTAAAATAGTTTCATGTTCCTGCTTAAAAAAATAGTAATCTAAAGGGATATTTATAAAAAAGTGTGTAGATTTACTATTGGACATTTCAGAATCCTATGCACTGTTACTTTATCAGACATTTCCAGTAAGCAAAGACTGTAAGACTCAAACCATGAAATCTTTCCTAATTGTTGAAAGGCAGGAAAAAATAACTGGGAAAAAAAAAAGGAAAAAGGAAAAAAGGGGGGCAGAGACATAGACTGATAATAAACAAAGACCAGTGAATCACAGTCCTGCCAGTAAAACTGCAGGTGGAGTTCTGTGAAGCACAAACAGCTGGTGGAACGACGTCAAATAAATGTACACATACTGTAATATACATCGGGGCAGATTCCAGGTACAACATACAGTACTTTTTACCTCCCTTATCTGTACAGATGATGTTTTCATCTTCGCTAGAGATAAAGATGGCAATAGTTCCAGACTGGCTGGACACGATTCGCTCGGACATTGCTGAAACCTGTGTTTATCTAATGGAAATGAAGCCACGCCATGTATAAGTCACACCCTGAAGTTCAGTTTAGTTTCATTCATTCATCCATCCATCCCTCCCTGCATCCATCCCTCCATCCATCCATTCATCCTATGTCAATGCAGATGGATAAACCCCCCAAAACATGACTCATATACCATTACATTTGATATAATTATTTTTGTATCACTTCATATTATTCTTTTTAGAACCCAGTTAAATCAATGCCATGATGCGGTTTAAAGGGGTTTCAAGGGGAATTTAAAACAGTCCATGTGAATTATGTGTCCACTTATTTCCGTGCCCTGTGTACAGATGAATTCATCTGTCATAAAGTGGTTGCATGAAGATGAATTCATACCAGACACAATCCTATCAGAATGTTACGCAATACTTTGGCAACAGAAGTCAGAATAAAATAGCTTCTTAATGACCTTCAGGCCAGTGGCATCAGGATGAATGTAGAAAAGATGTGAAGGTTCTACACAAGGGCGAAATTATCTAAAAGTTATAATCTAGTTTTCAAAGATGATGTCAAAGAGAAATCCTCAGGAGGTTAAAGAATAATACTTCAATAAAAGGGACATTTGAGACGAGCGCACCGTTGCCAAAAAACATCACTGCCAGTAGGGACAAAAGGTAAATCTTAACTCTTGCCATATAAAAATCTGTCAATATATTTTATTATTTCTGGTGTGACTGAGTGCATGTGCAGAAATATGTTAGTTTTTATGATGGAGCACAGTATTTTATATGTGTAGGCAAGTGTGTGTGTGTGTTTTATTGTTCCTTCTGGGGTCAGTGAACACCTGCCATATTAAAGCATGGTTATACAATCTGAAGAAAGCAGCTTCTGTCATCAACAGCAGCATACAGTGTGTTTACATGGAGCTTTCTAAGGGACAGTGTGACTTCGCTGCATATTTAATTGCTTCAGACTTACAGCCAAGTGCTCTCGGTTTAATTACATTCCCACTGCTTATTTATACATGTGCTTACATTTCTACGCTGCTCAATAGGCATAGGTGGAAAAAAAAACCACATTTCTCTCCTCACCCAGAAACTGTTATCGAGCCGAACACCGATCCTTTAACATCCATAGTTTATATTACAGTCTGACCATAACACAGTGGTTCTCAAACTGTTTTGGTCTACTCCAAATTTGACTTTTCAAGCCCCACCTGTTCCCGTAGCCTCAACAAAAATCTTAAAAAAAATACATTTTTAAGTTATTGAACTAACACCAAGTAACCACATATCTTAGAATGAATCAAATTAATTTCAAGTTCCTTCCGTTTCTTGCGCGCCACCTGTTAAGACTTAGTTCTGCACCAATGAGGCCCGCCCCACACTTTAAGAAACACTGCCGTTGTGTACTTCACCGACATCAGATTCTGTTAAGGACATTACTTAGACAATGACATTACTTGCTTCATCCTTGATTTCGAGCCAGTACGGTGCTTAGAGCCAAACACGTCAGATTTCTTCTATCTGAACCCGCCCTGGAGCTAATGTTACAGCCCAGCTGATGATGATGATGATGATGATGATGATGATGATGATGATGATGATGAAATCTCCTCAGTGTTAATGCCTCCACAGTGACTAGCATGATGTTACTACTCGTGCTAGGTTTACATACGTTAACCTCACAGACTGCGGATGGCTAGCCTAAATCAGAATCGGGTGATTTTAAAGCATGAACGGCCTTGACCAGTGACCGGCTGTCTTCTGTCTCATAGAACAGGAGACGACTCTCGCACTCACACTCACTAGCTCATCTGTCAATGTACACGCTAACAACTGTTGTTTTTTTGCTGGTATTACTTGCCTTGTGCTATTTCTTCTATTTTTTATTTCATAAATCACCATGGGAAAGAAAAAAAATGGTGAGAACAACAATAGAAGTGAAGAAAGATTCTACGAAAGCATGACAATGGCACTGGTTACTTGGTATTAGAATACTTTTTTTTTTTTCTATAACTCCATGTTACATTTCTATACTCTATATGCATAAAAATGCAATTATTGCAGCTTAGTTACCAAGTTAAGTTTTGTAGTGTTTATCTTTGCTTTGAGATAAGAGAGGTAATTTCAAATTCCAACTGATCATTTTTCTCCTTGTGATCCATGGGAACTCAACGAAGTTGTCTCAAACCCTAATAAACAAGCTCCTTTAGCTCTGGCCTATCTTTTAGTAGTGCATGACGTCTTTGACTGCTGCCTGTCTTAGAGTGATGTACGGCTGTGAAATTAGAACTTGTTTTTATTAGGTATTAATCACATAGACAGCAGCAATCTTTTGTGCTGTCATTTCTATATTAGCGTTTCTATCATTTTGGCTCATTCTTCACTACATTGTTTAACAAAAAATGAAAGTTTTCTTCTGGCTCAGTTTAAATGAATAACATAATTCCAGTTGTTCTCAACGGAATAATGTACACTGGAGGTTTGAAGCAGCTGTGTACCAGCGCTGACATGTCACTTAGTTCTTTATGGGGGACTAATACGACTGTCAGACTTTTTTTTTTTTAACTCCATGTTACCACAGCAAATACTGTACAACAGGCCACCGGTGCACCATATACAGGAGACTTGTCACTCACATCTCCTTGGGGAAGCTGTCACATGGGGGTGTACAGGGTGTGAGTATTACTGAGTTATTGCAGGTTTGAAATGTTGTGATAATACATACATTCCACAGTGCAGGAGATTACTATGTACTATTCCCTTTACGGGGATCACAGTTTAAAGCTTTTGTACAGTATGTGCTTCTATCTAGGAGTGTATCGTTGAGGAGCTCTCATAAAGTTTACTCACTCTCAGAGAAGCCAAATCAAATCAGCTGAAAACCCACCAAAGAAATTCCATTTTGGCTCAGAGCAGCATTAGAGCAACATCCTGATAAATAATACTGATTAAAAGTTGAACAGCATTTGCTGCTGATGTTAGCCCTTGCAGTGATTAAAGACTGTTGGCAAGTTCCTAATGTTTTTCTTTCTCTCATCCCTTATGATTTAGGATAAGGGACTGAATCAAGACGTGCTGATTAAAACAGTAATATCGTGGTAAAAATGATATGTGGACAAAGGCTTGACTAGAACATTTATTCTTTCCTTATTTCATTTTAGCAAATCTTTCACACCACAGATGACATTTTAACGCGGCCAGAACTGGTAGATGTTTACGGTATTTCCGCATCTTGCTCCAAATAATTTCTCTTTGTTTCTTTAATCATGAGTACTTCTCTGGCCTTGGGCCCAGAAGAGGCAAAAACAGAAATCTGTGATTGTTCACTGTGTGTTTGTTGCAGGTTTAGTGTCTCCTTGGTCTAAGAAGTGTAAACAGCACAGAATCGCTTTGAGATGTTACCATGACAACACCATAACCAAAAGATTGCTCTGTTGCTTTCTTAATTGTTAACACACCGTGCACTGCACTACATATAGAGAGATTGTATAAAAGTTGTGTGATTTATTGCTAGCTACTAACTGACTTGTTTTACTGCTAGGATATCGCCTCAGTTCTATCAGGGAGAGAAAAGATCCATAGTATTGACGATTGTTATAGTGCAGAATTCGGAAACCTCCTCAGTAATGTCCAAAAACCTGTGTTTTTAACACCCCTGCCGGTGGTGCTGTAATTACCTTGTGCCTAAGTTATGTTGTAAAGGTTGAGTTGATAAATTCAATGTTACATTAAAATTAAAATAATCAATATGGTTGCTAGTCTGTACAAATACAGACTTGCCACCGGAGGGCGACAATGTAACTATCACATTTGAAATTAAGTGTCCACTGAAAAACACAGCTCAGGACAAACACATCTAAATCAACATTGTCATTGTCAATGTTTTTTTTTTTTGGAGGGGGGGGGTGATATACAGCTGGCAAGCAGCTTAAAGCTCCTCTTGGGTGCTGTACACCTCCAGTGATGGTGTGCCAAAACATTAGAACATTACAACAAACCTACTAGGCTAAGCTATCCCTGCCAGCGTTGTAGTACAGTAACTGTAGATTCTTCCAATTTTGTAGTTTAACAGCCACTCTGCATTCTTGAGTTCTATTAATGCCACCTACTGGTGGACTTACTTTACTTGCAAGAGATAGAAATCAAAGGCGGACGGTAGAGTACTTGTTGATTCACACAGCATCACATACTGCACATAAAATAATCAAAATGACATAAAACCTGATTTTTTAAATGCCATTTCAATGACCTTATTCTGGGACTTCTAACCTTTTTATTTCCACAACATTTCACTAAATGTCAGCCTCTCCATGTTTCCACAGGTTGGTGGTTTGTCAGCACAGCAGAGGAACAGGGCTGGGTTCCCGCAACCTACCTAAACTCCCACAGTGGGACACGGGATGATTTGGAGCTCGGCGCCTCTAAAGTTGGCGAAGGTAAGTCACTGCTAACATGCTAACCACTGCGCCCCACCACCAACATCAACACACACAACCTCAGCCACACACAGTCGCTGCCCTCATCACTGCCCTCAGTTCCCGGCCTTTGATCAGTGGTAAAAATGAAGCAAACTCACCCCGACTTCAGCGTTGTCAGCCCATGTTGACAGCCCACGCTGACATCTGGTGTGAACGCCTCACTGTCTGCCTGCCATCATAAGCACGCTTGAACAGAGCGGAGGATTCAGGACTGGTTAAACAGCCAGGAGGCGCACGGAGAGGGTCCAGACCACAGTCGCTGAAGTGATGTCCTGTACTGTAGTACACTGTGGAGTACAAATTCAATATAAAGGTGAAAAGACCTGTTTAGTGGGTTCATGAAAGAGCTGTGTGTTGTTTCATTAGCCGTGCTCAACTTATTACGGTCATTCATAATTTAAGTCATTAATGTCATAGCAAAGACAGCTTTGAGGAAATTAAAGAATCAAATGTTGAAAAGGTTCTTCTTTGTATTACAGCATACTATCATTTACTTAAATGTATACTAATGTAGTACAGAGGTTAGGGTGATATGTTGATATGTTCGGTATACTATAGTACAAAGAAGAGCTGTTTCGACATTGGTGTCTCCAGAAAAATCGTGGGACCAGCAGACAAGTTGTCAACGAGGACAAGGCTGCCACTGGAGAGACAAAATAAACAGATTTCAACTGAACAGATCCCTCAGTACAATCTACATCTGACTGAGTCAACTCTGACTCAGGCATATAGTATCTGTTTTATATCACCTCAGCCTTCTCTCTGAGAACAGAAGTTTGACTCCTCCAACACCAAAGCAAAACTTTATGGCATAGAAAAGATCAAGTGTCTGTGTATTTTTATAGTTTATACATATAAAATAGTTTTGTTAATGTTAAATGTTAGCATGAAACATGTTACGTTGGAGAGTATGTGGTGTTCAACCAAAACTAAAGAAAATTTGCATTTAGACAAAAAAAAAAGTTCTAAAGATGGTTCGAGAGTAAGTGGTGAATTTATCTTTAAGATTCCGTACACTATAAAATGGACAAATCCTGTCTGCCAAACCTTTTGTTAAAATGCCAAAAAATGTTTCCTGTGGTTTGTGATGCTATCCTCGTGTTAACTGTTTTCTTTTTAAAGAAGTGTGGATATGATTTATCCTTTAACACTACTGGTTTATGGAGGGTTTTTTTAGGGGGTTTTATGGATTTAGTCATTCAACTTTGTCTTCTGATTCTGTTTACGGTTGTTTGCAACCATGGTTATTGTTCTTTTTTATTTTATTTTATTTAACAAAGTGTAAAAAATGCCCATTATCTTCCAAAATCACATTTCAAAATAAAAGTTTCTTCCAGTACAATCCAGGAGCCAAAAGTTGAGACAAGTGGCTTCTTCTCTGTATAAACAGAGTCCAGTTGTTCTTACAGCAGTGTGTGATATACTGCATGTATGTAAAGTTCATCCAGTAGTTTATAATACCAGCAAATAGATGGATAAACGGGAAGACTATGTCTAAATGAACTCCCCTGTGGTTTGGTACTGTCAACTCCTCAACCCAGTCCAAAGCCAGGGGAGTGATCTTATTGTGAAATAATATAATATAATAATAAAATGCAGCTTATCTGCTTTGAAACTGATGGCAAACCCCCCTGAAATGGAGACAAGGCAACAATTAAGTTGTGTATTAAACTTCCAAATAAACACGATTTTCCAGTACTGTGGCCAAAAGAGCTTTTGAAGTATTGCTTGCGTACCCCCGTAGTAATCAGTGCCAGTATCCCATTTGTTATTTTATTTTCTACGTAAAAGCAGAGACGGAATACATTCAGTATGTTGACTAAAGCCAGACAAACACAAGTACATAGAAATATCTACAATACGTCCAACCACTACATCCAACAGGTATCTACAGAGTCAGAGATGGGAGGAGTGTGCTGACAGGATCTGGGAGGACAGTCTGTCAGTGTAATTAGTGTTTATGTGACTGGGCAGGTACTGGAACGGCATTAAAGATCCCTTTGTGAGCCTCTGGCCTCCTGCAGCCTTCTGTGGAACCAAAGAGTAAATAACAAAACTCCAGACCAGACGTAACTAGGTGTTGTTCAAATCGGCTTTTAAAAGGCTGTGTTAAATTTTAATTTAGGTTAAGAAACTCAGCAGCATGGATTTTATTATAAAGGTCAAATGCTTTTAAAGCTCCTGCAGGCCACACAAAATGACTCGGCGGGCCGCATTTGGCCCGCGGGCCTTGAGTTTGACACACGTGGTCTGTACTATCTTAAATCTCCGTATGAAGTCCCAGGTGCACAACGCCGACCTACAGCGTCTTCAGCCCAGCTGTCCTGTTAATTGGCTGGCATTCCTGCAGAAATGTGTGTCCCAGATGCTCTAACAAGACAGAATGGGGAAAACCACGCTAACAACATCCTAATTACAAGCCACCAAAAAGACGTTGCAGTTTAACGTTTCCTTTGTAACCTCCATCCATCCATCCGTCCACTCTAACCCTCCACTGTGTTTTGCATTTGCGGCGCCTGTTCTCATGTCTTCCATGTAGCTAATAATGGTCTCCAGGCCTGTGTGTGTCACGTGTGTGCCGTGCGTTTGTGTTAACATTTGTGCTTGCTCTTCATGTCTCCCATGTTTGTGTGTTCATGGTCGTGTGGTCGCCACGTCTGTCTGTGTCTGTCAGTAACTAAGCGGCACAAGGCTCATCTGAAGCGGCTGGACCGGAGATGGACGTTGGGGGGTGTCATCAGCAGGCAGCAGAGCCGAGGTGAACCCAGACAGATGCTGTGTCACCTCCCTCCTCTCTCCTCTCTCATCATCCTCACCCACCCCCTTCCCTCCTGTTATTGTTCTTCTCACCCTGTCTTATTTATTGTTTCTGGTCACATGGCTCAGCTCGTTTCTCTCCACACACATGCACATATTTGTTTAGTCCAGTGTCGTTTTTTTTTTTTCACTCCCTGACAAATGCATTTATCATGAACCGCCATTTACCACAAACTAACCACTGACGTTAATATGAAAAAGTTTGGAAAGCGTAGATGAAACCGTCCACTTTATATACAGCGGTTAATAACCTTGGGCTCAAATTATGCTGCTCAAATATAAAGTGTTTACATTATAATTAAATACCACGTGCCAAAAGCAGTCTCCTCAGAAATTTAGCACCCACTCATCTGAAAGCAGTTGTGTAATATGTGATGGAATGCCTCACACTGCATTTTAGAGCCATATTTTACTTTTTATGGGCGAATTAAGTGTGTATGTACTTTTCCGATGAGTATATGCTGCACTGAAGTGTGGCAGAAGGAGAAGTTGATCATGCTAGCAACCATTACAAAGACAAACACTGAGCTTTATTAGTTGTTTTTGTTGTTTTTTTTAACACAATTAGCAAAAAAAAATCACTAAGTTGCACATGTTTTTTTTTTCTCCAAGGCCGAAGTTTCTTTTATTTATTTATTTTTTAAGAGAAATGCTTTTGGATTTCTGACAAAGTGCTGGGGATAGGCTTTTGAGTTCAGCCCAAATTTAATGCTTGCCAGTGATTTCTACTCTCCCTGGACTGGAGAGGGGTTGAGGGGGGGGGCAGGAGTTGTTTCCATCCTGCTTCGAGTTAAAAAATGAAAAGAATAAAAAGACAGATGCTTTGCTGACTCTTCAAAAATCTCTTCTAACACAAGCGATGCATGTTGTGGTTCTTTTTTTTTTTTTACACCGCTGGATATTGTTTGGAAGAGGTTTGTGAAAGGAAAACGTTATAAACGCTCCAGCACAAAGAGGGCCGGAAGAGCCCAGCGAAAAGGAAAATACAGTGGGCAGAATTTTTTTTTTTTTTTTTTACCCACTGAAAGTTATGAGAGGAAAGTGCATTACAATCCCACACCCATTCATCTCCAAAACACAGCCTTGGAAACTGGAGAAGAGAAGAAAAACTGAAAAACATGTCACCAGATTTAAAGTTCCTCAGCTCAGCACAGAGTGCATTTCCACAAAGTGTCTTTTTTAGAACATGAATTCTGCATTTTCAGCAAACTGCTGCTGCTGCCTGTGCTGACTGGGTTCAGACAGGAATTGCCATAATGACAGGAAAAGAGGGCTGAGTGTAGCTTCCCAGCCTCATGAGAAAACATAAATCAGATTGCAGTCTGTTCTCTCTATTATGTGCTAGGTTAGAAGGGGCTTGTGAGGAAGAGGGCACGGGCCAGTGACATACTGTAACTCACTGCAGGTACTATAGTATGACAACTCTACTTTAATTGGTGGAAATGACAACGTACGCAACCGTGCTACCTCGTCTTTGAGGAACTGCTATTCCTTCATTAATAAACTGATCAAAGAAAGATAAACAATGTCAACACTTTTCCTTCTTGAATTCAGAAACTACTTTTGATTCTGATAAATTCAGTTTGGTCTTGGTGCTTGTAAACAGGCCTTGTAATCCCACATCATGATATTTATGTCTATATTTGTATCTTATATAACATTGAAATTACAGCTGTGGGATGCTAAAATAATGGTTTTCCCAGATGTATTTCAGATATTTTTCAGTCTTCTAAGAGGCTAGCTAACCTTAACAGATCCTGCTAACGAGGTCCGCCTCAGGGCTTCTTTATTGTAATAAAAGACCAGCAGCCCTGATCCTTTTTTTATTGACAATTTTGAGGTGTTCTGACTTTATAATTTAATAAAAGCAAGGCAGCAGTAGGACATGAACTTGTGCCCATGGAATCTCTGTACTGGGGATAAGCAGATTCAGTGGTGAAAACTAATGGGCATCTTGATGTCTATGCCGACGCTGACGGTACAGTTAAAACCTAAAAATGAACCGCTGAGTTCAAAATAGCCCGAGGAGGATGAAGGAAAGTGGTGTTCTCCAAAGTTTCTGTCCGTTTCGGTCCAAATTTCCTCTTTGTGTTTCCACAGACAGTGTTTCCCTTCCTGTCTCGCTAACACCTCAGAATTTTGTGTAAGCTTTAGCCGAGTCATCACTTTGCACCAAAAGGAGACATCAGGAAAGGTTTTTTGTCCAAAAAAAAAGTTACAGGGAAACTGTCGCCCAAACTTTTACTGCTCATGTGAAAATTCTCTTTGCTGCGACACATTCCACAACTACCAAAACTAAAACATTACATCATGCAACCAGGGGAACCAAAACTGGGTTTATGTTTTCTTTAGAGGACCTACGTATAGGTGTTGTTTTTCCAATCACAACTATTAGACTGACAAAAGCCCCAAAAGATGTATATTAAAAAAAGAAACAGAACAGATCAGATCATACAGGCCAGTCTGGCAGCAGAAGAAAGAGCAATATATAATATAAATAAAAACAGCTACTGTCAGTGTTTGAGAAACTCAACCCCAACTTCAAATATAAATATATTTCTTGAAATTAATTTCTGTAAAAACGCTGTTGAGAATGTGCATGTTTGACCTCCTTCCTTCTTTCTGCATTTTATTTTGACTTAGTTCAGTTTGACTTCTTTGAGTTTCCACATTCTTACATCTGTTTATGTTTTCTTTTTGCTCTGGCAGAAGAGAAGTACATAACAGTGCAGTCCTATTCCGGTCAGGGCAAAGACGAAATTGCTTTTGAGAAAGGAGTGATTGTGGAGGTGATTCAAAAAAACCTGGAAGGATGGTGGTTTGTCAGGTATACTTTTCATCCCTTGCTTTGGGCCCATTCCTTTTGGTTCTTTTTTTTTTTACTTTTTTTCCAAGAAAATGATGATAAGCCTGACATATTTGTTCACTCTTTGACAGATATCAGGACAAAGAAGGCTGGGCTCCAGCTTCCTACCTGAAGAAGATGAAAGATGACTTCTCACCACGCAAGAAGACTGTCACAGGTCCAGTGGAGATAATCGGAAACATCATGGAGATCAGCAACCTGCTAAACAAAAAGGCATCCAGTGAGAAGGACATGCAGAGTGAATGTGTTCCAGAGAGCCCCCAAGTGTCCAAGAAGGAGATCAGCTTGCCAATCCCCTGCGCAGAATCAAGTCCAGTTAATTCACCACAGGATGGGAAAAGTAAACCTGAGCCTGCTTCACCAGCCATCGCCCGCATAGCTCCTCATCGGGTGGAAATTGGTCAGTTATTTCACAATCACTTTATATGGTTCTGTAGTAAAGTCATAATTTATAACTATCTAACAGTAGTTTACTAACTTGGCCTCCAATATATCAAGTTTGTCAAACAAGGCTCATTAAGATATATATATTTTTGTATCATACCTGCTTTTGTCTTGTGATTATGTCACAGGTTCCCCAATTCTCCGGCAAAAACCTCCTCCTCGAAGAGATGCAACTCTGGTAAGAATATTTGAATTATTAGTCTCCATTTTCCTAGACGACCACAGAATAATTCAAAAAACACTTCCTTTGTTATTTTTATAGAGCCAGAGAATATGTGGCTGTGTACATCTCTCTGTATTTTCCTCTCTGTTGCATGTGAATGGAACACAATATTTTCTGATGTTTTTTTAAGATATTTAACATATTTAGAAGAGGAAAATAGAGCCAGTAGGGGTCAGTAATCCAACTCAGACAGACGGAAAAGCCCAGATTAGTTGGCTAACAGTAGCATGGTTAGTTTGGCTGTCAATTATTAGTCATAAATGTATTTCTGTTTTATATAATAAAAAATTTAATATTTTTTTCAGTGTTTCTTTGTGAGAATATCTGTTATGCAAGATTACTGTGTTTTAAATCAAGTTTAGTGGGACAATAGTTCTCTCTACAAAAGTGGGGCCCTGCAGAAAACATTTAGGGACCACTGATCTGAGATAACATATTGATTTATATATATAAAAAAATGTTTTATCAGTTTACTGTTTCAGCTCTCTTTCAAATCTAACCCTTTTATAATACATGCTCTTTTTTTGTCCAGGGATTTCAGTTGCCCTCCCCACCAGAGCCCCCTACAGTTGAAGCCGAGTACTACACCATTGCAGATTTTCAGTCTTGTATATCTGATGGAATCAGTTTCAATGGGGGACAGAAAGCAGATGTAAGAATTACTTTTTTAATTTGAGCAAATGTATCTTTCCATTTATTACCTAATATTGTTGTTATTATGTGAGAAATTCTGAAATAAACAGTATATGATTAGAAAAGTCTCTGTATGCATCTCCTAAACCTTCCTTTTACTTGTGTCTTAGGTCATTGAGAAGAACTCCGGTGGTTGGTGGTATGTCCAGATTGGTGAGAAGGAAGGCTGGGCTCCATGTTCCTTCATTGATAAACGTAAAAAGCCCAACCTGAATCGCAGAACCAGCACTCTGTGTCGCCCTAAGGTTCCACCTCCAGCACCTCCTGTCAAAAAGCAGGACTCAGCAGAAAGTGCCCCACCCAGCAGCCCAGGGTCCGAAGCTCCAGAGTCCCCTGGGTCTTCTGGAAGACCAGTGTATGAAGAACCAGAATATGATGTCCCTGCTATTGGAGATTTAGACCTGGAGTCTGAGTTTGAGTTTTTGAGAGGTGGAAGTTCCTTGGTGGTTGGAAAGAACGAGGACACTTCCTCTGAGAAAGGGTCACATTTGTCCTCCAAGCCGTCCCCTGCGTCATCACTCCACAGCGCCTCTTTCAAGCTGGGTGAGTCATTTGAAGATGGCCATGAGGCAGAGGTGGAGGAAGAGTGCATTTATGAGAATGACTGCTTCAGGCCGAGAGATACTCCAGAAAGGCAGTGCAGCAGAGACTCAAATTCATTCAAGACAAGTGGTCTGTCGGACAGTGGCAAGACCGCAAACCCAACTTCAGCTGGCTGGAGATCTCCTGGGAACAAGCTCAAGATTGACTTGAACGGAAGCCCATTTTCAATCAAAGCTGAGGAGTCCTCTAGTCCAAAATCTGGCTCAGGTGAATCTGCTACAGATGTGTCTAGATCACACAAAGACCAGGACGAAAGCAAGGCATCGTCTCCTCCAAAATCGGCCTTCAAACTGAAGCCAGTAGTCAGGCCCAAACCACAGCTTAACAAGGCCTCCAGTGCTGAAAAGATGGACATCAGTACCCTGAGAAGACAACTGCGACCCACAGGGCAGCTGAAGAATGGCACCAAAACCAAAGGTGAGGACTCTGAGACAGCTTCAGTCGTCTCCTCTGAAGATTCCTTTTCTTCTCAGAGCACATCAGATCTATCCTCCATCTATTCCAAAGGCAGCCGTGGAGACTCTGACCTGGAAGGATCTGTGTATCGCACCACAGATCCCTATGAGAAAGTCCAAGAGTCTGAGGTCAGTTTTCCTGCTGGAGTGGAGGTGGAGGTGCTGGAGAAGCAGGAGAGTGGCTGGTGGTACATCCGCTGGGGAGACAATGAAGGCTGGGCTCCAACTTACTTCCTGGAGCCTGCCCGACAACAAGAGGACATTGCGGGGTCGGAGTCTGATGAAACAACGATTAAACTTGGGAGCCTCAGTAAGTCCAACAGCCTTGAGAAGAATGAACAAAGAGTTCAGGTGCTAAACAACATCAACCAGAACATGAAGAAGGTCACCCCGCCTATTCCTTCCAAACCTCCTGGTGGTCTCTCTAAGCCTAGCAGCTTGTTTGATTCAAGGAAACAGAACAACACCAAACAGCAGCAAGTGGTCCGACCTCAGTCTGTCTTCATTTCAGCCCCAATAAAGGACGGTCCCAGCCCTGTTGGCTCTCTGAGGAGAAACGAGTCCCTCAACTCCACAGACCATCCTCGCGCCAGCCCCACAGTGCGACGCAATGCTTCTTTCGGCACTGTTCCACGTAGTACGGTGACCAACAACATAGTGTTACCCAACAAGAACAGATCAGGTACTGGCAGCTCTGAATCCATTGGCCAGAGCTCTCCAAAGAATGCTCTCCCAGTGTCTACAGTGAGGCCTAAACCCCACATCATCCATAACAACCTCAGGGAGGTGTACGTCTCCATCGCTGATTATCATGGGGATGAGGAGACCATGGGATTTCCTGAGGGGACAAGTCTTGAAGTCCTGGAAAAGAATCCCAATGGGTGGTGGTACTGTAAAGTTCTGGACAATGGCAGACCAAGGAAAGGGTGGGTTCCCTCCAATTACCTGGAGAAAAGGCACTAGTTTTCACATGTGGAGGCGGCAGATCTCCTAACATGCTTTTAAAGACTTCTCAAAGAGATGAAAGTGGCTAGCGCTCAGGCCAAAGAACTGGGACTAAAACCTAACTGGTACCTTTGCCAAAATGAGTAACCCAAATAAATTCTAACTTTGAAAGGAAGGAGGAATTAAATTAATCTTCAAATGCAGGGCTGTGATGTCGTGTCGGGGGGAGGGGGGGAGGCAGCGTGTTAAAAAAAAAAAAGAAAAGAAAAAAAAGGAGACCAGTGGTTACCCTTAACTTGAAACAGGTCTGAACATTGAACCATGTTCTCTAAGTTTATAATGTATTATTTCACAACAACTCTTAAGCATTTAAAGCTTATTGCATGTTTAAAATAATTCATTATACCGACGATGCCTCGAGCTGTTGAATATAACTTTTTCCTCCTCCTTTCTCTGCGGAAACTTGTTGCCAAAGCTGCTTTGTTAATCTCCCTTGCTGTCTTATTGCATGTCTTTATATCTCTTTTATACTGTAAGTCACTTTTATGTGAAATATTTTATCAGTTTGTGTTGTAATGTTCCCATGGAGTGTTAATGCTTATATAATTTTGTTAACTCTGAAGAAGAAACTCTCCTCAGAATTTTCCTCAAAAGCTTATTATCCAAAACATTAACTTCCCTCACAACGGAGAAGATCATATTTATTCATTACTTTAATATTGTACTGTTACTTAGTTTATTTTTGTATGTTTTAAAATGAAAACCACAGCCCCATGAATATGTTTAAAAACTGCTCTGTTTAACCTAACATTTTAAATTTCTGCTGGGCAGTAAATTTGTCATAACCTTTTAGCTGCAGTATTACCGGGATGCTTGCATTAGTTTTCTGTTAACTGTGTGACCAGTGATGATGACTAAGGTGCCAAAAGATTAAAACAAATAAATGCACTTTTGAACCATAAAAATGTGTCTGCGTGAGTCAGATTTCTTAGTTATCACTACACTGTTTCTAGTTTATTAAGACTTATTAAAGTGAATTAATTTCTTACAATTAACTGAACAAATAACACCAAGTAGAAATACAAACAACTCATTTTTGTTTAAGAAATATTCTACCTTGGTATTGGCTTCACCTGTTCCCGGTTTATCGTGTGGTATTTAATATTTGGTTTGTAAAGTACATTTGTAGAGTAAATTCAGACATGATTAAAAATTATAAAGAAAAAATAATGTGTATACAGAAAAGGACCGTGACTGGGCGACATAAAGTGTAAAAGTTAGGAGTGGTAGGAGTGTTTAAGAAGGAGAAAAAGACTAGTGGTTTAGTGCGTAGGAGAAAGATGAAGATAGCTATCGATAATTGTTCTACTAGGCTATTGTATTTTTTAGCCTTGTTAGCCTTGTTACATGGTCTGTTCAGGAAAAAGACGTTTATTTAATTCGAAGTTACAAAAAAAAAACAACAACAAAACAACAACAAAAAAACTTTCTGTGTAACTTATGTTATTACTTGGGCGCCGGGGCGGACGCCAACGCCAACAACGAAAACAAACCCCGGCAGGTAAACGGACAACGCCTTCTCTTTTAGCATCTTACCGGCTGCTTCTTCAGATCCGTGATGGATGCTTTGGACCTACAAAGTCTTCTCCGTGACAATATTATGACGAAAGACTACTTGTTAAAGTCCAAGCAAACATTAGCATATGCTCGTTTACATCCGGGTTACTTCCCCAGGTGTCATGGGTGCGTTGCCTTTAAGACTCCGGTCTCGGCGTTCTGCTTAGGTCGTCCGTATTTACTTACTTACTTACTTATTTTTATCTATTTATTTTCCTGCTTGTGTTTGTATTTTAATTCCGGTCATCGTATTCCCTCTTCGTAAAACCTCCAGTTTGATTTAACAGAAACATCTCTCCGTGTAAATATCTAAATAAAACGTGGACACCTGCAGATTATAGAAAAGTGTGGCATATTTATGTTTATTTATTTATTTATTTGCTTTTTAAATTTGTTGTGTACGGGTTATATTCACGGTATATTGTTGCGTATGATTAGAAATGAGGATACTCCATCACAGCTACGGTGCAACAGGTTAAAGATAAATATGGATAGGACCAGCACATTGGAGATTAGGACATGCTGTGGAGATGAAGATAACTGGAGTAACAGTAAAAACTCCAGAGCAGCTGGATGTTGTTATGCAGGTAAATCAGATTACGCTGAGATTCTACAAATCCTTTTACTTTTTCATTACATCTCCGAGCTACATAATGGTCAAATTCAGATCTAGCTGTTTTCACTGCAGGAGACTCTGCAGAACACATTTTACTCTGGCTGAAACTGACTTAAGAGGGCAGTGATTTTTCATCTGACAGCATGGCCACCGAATAAAAAAAAAAAAGGAATCCTGGCATAACTGTCTTGGAATATTCCTGTGCCATCGGGTAGAAAAAAACTGAACTGCTGGAAAAGTGTATTCATTTAGCAGATTGAGGTTGACAGCTGACCTCAATTCTTGGAAACATGACATTGCTGAAACTAGACCTGAAACTATGCCACATCATAACACAACTGTACAGAACATACTAGGTATCATGGGTAATCACTTCGTCAAATGTCCCCACGTCACTCTATTACTTGCCTCAGTGACAGTTCGCGGTAAGTGATTTGGCCTAGTTCTTTAGCCCAATTTCTTAAACGAGGAACCCTGGGATTATGGAATAGGCTGGAGTCTAAGTCTTATTCTACCCTCTGATGTTTCCATTACCAAGGAATGGGCTTTAATGTAGACTCACCAGGATGACATGACCTTGGTGGAGCTTACAAAATACTGTATAACACAAACTGTTGTAATCACCAGCTTCTCCATTTACGATTGTACCTGAATGCACCTCGGACAAGTTTATTATTCAGTGGGAACATTCAGTTTATTAATAATTTTCTTATGCTAAATGAATGTAATTATTGTATCGTGAATAAAAGTGAGATAAAAATGTTCTAAAAGTTTTCTTTATGCATTTTGTAGCATTGTCAAAGGGGGTCTGTGGTCTTATGTGCTCCAGTAATGTAGCAAATATGCTAATCCTGATTAGCCTCTCTGACAGTTGTTTTCTAGGCTAACAAAGCTGCTTCATTTTTTATTTTTTAAATGTATTTATTCCAAATACCTGTTGTTACCACATACTCAAAGACATTATCTCCAATCATTTGAATCCTTTCCCTTGCCTTGTTCTATGTATTGCTAATTTGACCTACGTACAATATTTAACCTGTGTCATGACTGATATCACAATTGATATATGGACATGTTTTCAGAAATGACAACCACACGCACTGCTTCAGTTGAGTTGAATACCTCACAGCCAGATATTATATTAGATATTGTTATTCACTTAATTCTGGTTGTTACATATTCACTGCTGACTATTTGTTACACAGCAGTGTAGTAATTATGTCATCATCAGCTATATTAATACAACACACTGGCATAGTTTTACACTGACATATTTTGTTGCTTGATCTAGTGTTGGAAATACTATTACTCACAACCAGGAACAACATTTAGTAGCTTAAAATGTATATCCCAGAGTAGTAATGTTTACTAGGGGCCACACTAGAAACAGTTTTTGTTATTGGGCCAAACCAAGAATAATATGAACCTCATTCTGGCCAAAATCTATTTTCTCTCATTGCAAAAAGTAATAAATTACACAACTTCCACCAGATGGTACTAGTAATTTAAAAACGCTACAGTAAAGTTGTGATAAATCTAAGGAAAGAGTTACAAAGTTTAATAAAAAGCCAAACAAGCTACACATCTGACGTCATTTTTCACTCAGACATGTTCAAGTTCATTCAAGGGTATTATTATTATATTATTATACCGACTTATGTATATAAACATATATGCTGTACAAATCTTTTCTTTTTAACTTTGTTCTTGTACAGCTAATAAATAAACGTGTATTTTGAATGTGCATTAATGAGAAAGCTGTTTCGTGCAGCTCTGAACTGAAGGAACACAGGCTAGACAGGAACAGAAACAGAGGGAAGTCAAAAAAAGAACGTGAGAAGAGAAGCACTGGGAAACAGACCTGGAGTTCAGGAACACGCAGGAACAAAAACAGTCTGGAACCATAATGACACACTGTAGACCCGGTGACAAGAACGACAACGATCCAACAAAGATAGAGCGAATGGAGGGAGGTCTATTTACCTTCATTGAACAGGACACAGGTGAAGCTGATTGACCCAGGAGGCAGACAGACGTGACGCAGTCATAAATACGCATACTGTTTGTTAAATATATATTTAAAGATAAAAACAACCTTTTTCTTTACAACACCCCGTCCTCATTCTTTATTTTTCTATTATTCTTATCTTTTACCTTATTCCCTCAATTTATATTCTTATTCTCATTCCTTTTTGTCATTATTTTTGTTGCTCTCGTTTTTGCTACTGTTTTTATTATGTAGTTTCGCGCCGTTAACGAGGGTCTTTTCTGTACAGAGGGTGCTGTTGCCGCTTCTGACCACTGGAGAGCAGCAGTAGCACTAAGCATCTCGACGCCAGCCGAATGACGGTCTTTATCGTAACTGTGATTGAATAAAAAAGTCCCAAGTGATATTGATATTTTTAGACAGCCTTATATTTTTCACTTTAAAACTATTTTTCCTTAGAGTCTGTCCTTCAACACTGCCAGTCGGAGGGGAAAAGACTTTACATCAAATCCTAAAATGAGGGCAAGAGCCAAACTGTGGGCTTTTTGAAAGTCAAGTTTAAATTCACAATCAATAATTCTACGCAGATTGGAATAAGTATCGATTTTATAATCGATGATGTCTGTGTTTAACCAACAAGCCACCCAGATGACACAGTTAACAGGCATTTGCTGGGCTAGCAGAGCTCCTGGAGGGGGGCCGGCAGCCAGGTTCATGCAGAGGTCTGAGTGGAAAGTCTGCATGTACGCAGACACCAGTGACATAGGCAATATTAATGTTACTTTCACAGGCCGCCGCTGTGTATTTCCCAACACCTCTGTGAGCACTTGGCAATGAACAGCAGCCACTGCTGTCTGTTTCATGTCCAAACATCATGCTTTGTATTTGTGCCTATAGAAGTGCAGCATAAAGAGGTGCTGTAGCAGAGCCAGGCCTGCAGGGTAGTAAATAACAGATGATGTTCACCCAGGCCAGGTCTACATACCACCAATCTAAACAGCCTCCGTCTGAGTTATAGCTGTTTACTAAAAGCCTTTGCCTATGTTTTTTTGTGTAGTATATGGCGAGTGTTATAGTCAGGCGTACTACTGTGAAGATGGATGTCGTCGGTCGTGAGGCATCTGAGAGAGAGAGAGAGCTGTCTCTTTGTTCTTTAGCTCTCATCCAATTAGAGCTGGCCAAAAGTTAGAGCGCTAACAGCTACAACCTCATTTTATTATGCCCAGATCGACGTATCTTTCTGCTGCGTTGTAAAACAGGAACGGTTCGCCCTAATTTATTTGCAATGATCCAAAAGTAGTGTTCAACTAAAGAGGAGTTAAAGAACCGATCAAAGACACATAAACGGTGACTTAGTACTTAAATGCTCTTTCACTAAACCGAACACAGTCGGTCCGTTTGTTATAATCCTGGCACTACGTTCTAAGTCAGGTCTTTCAAGTCCGAAAAGCTTTCATCATTAAACCGTCTGCAACATTTTGGAATCAGAACAAATACCAAAATTTTAACCAACCGTTCATAAAGAGCTGTCAGAATTTTAAAGCCTCACTACAGTTTTGATCCATCTCCAATTTTTTTCTCCATGTTTTATTTCTTTTCCCAAAATTTAAAGAACATCTTAAAGGAGCTCAGTTTCAGTCCTTAGATGTGGCAAAGACACAGGTTGTGACCTGGTACAAAAGACATCACTCAGAATTCTACAAAAAGGAAGTTCTTCCAGTGGAAATATAGAAGTAGCTTTAATATAAAATACATAGAAAATATCCGTATTACCTTTTAATTGGTATTAAAATGTGTTGGAGTCCTCCAGGACCTTCATTTTTAAGAGTCATTTAATGAGCTAACACGTTTTGTTGTATTCTATACAAACATATTTCTGAGTCCTTTTTTGCAGAGAGACAACAGTACTGGGTCACTACTTAAACAGTACTATAGTACTATATTACTAAAATATATATATATATAAATCTGTCGTTGGATTCGTGACACAGGTCACATACAGTATGTGATAACAACACAACATTCAGCTGAGATTTGCCTTGTGAAGAGCAGCTCTGTCAGAACAGAAAGTGTTTTTCAGGAAATTTTGTTGTACATTGAATCAGGAAAACTGTCTCCGCTTATTTATTCAAAATCTGTGCCAGGATCTCAGTCAGCGAATCGTGTCATTGCTATCAAATTTTTAAGCGCGTTCTCCAGTTTCTCTCTCTGTGACAGTTGGCTGACATTTTAATGATTAGCTCCTCCATCACTCTCCCTACATGGAGCCCTGGTCGGCTCAGCCAGTCCACTCGTCACCGCAGTCACTTCAGGACTGGGCTGGACTCAGCTCATCACCATCACCTGTGTCTGGCTCCTTTGGGGGAACAGCCTGTCCTCCATGATGTCATGCTAGGTCACTACTGTAGCACCACTTGTAATGCATGTCAATAAAACATGCTTGATTGATTTGTCAGGAGGATTCTCTGACTAAATATGATAAATGTAAGCTAGCACAGGATGTCAAGCACACACACACACACACACAAACTCAAAGTATTGTCATCACTATAAGGACAGTGGCCATGTCTGAAATATACTGTGTATATTTTCAATACTATGACCTCCGTAATACAGTCATTCCACATATTTAATTTTATGAATAGCACACACTGCTGTTGAATAAATAACTGTAGTTAAAACCATCCTGAAAATGTTGCAAATTGGGTCACAATGATTTGTACCCTTTGGGAAGTGGGAAAAACCAGCATAGCATAAATAAATCATATTTACTGAAACATGGCTAAACAAACCTGACCCCAGTCAGAAGACGGAGAAATGACTGAAGCAAACATTATCACAGTCAAATAAAAAAAAAAAATGCAAATACAAAGCCTTTAAAGTACAAAAAAAATCAGCTGACTCAACCAGTCTTTTATGAAATTAAAGGTTGATTATTATATTTATGCAACATGAAATTGTATTTTGTCACATTCCTCATTAAGTAGATTTGCTTTCTGACTTGAGGTTTAGTAGCTACCGCTAACGTTAGCCTTCTTTTTCAGTAAAAACATGTAAATACAAAGTCTTGACAGCACAAAAAAAAAATCTGCTGTATCAACCAGTCTTTTAAGAGAATAAAGGTTGATTATTATATTTATGCAATAGTTTGGAGAGCAAAGGCAGACAAATAAAACATACAGTGACAATACTAATAATAGCATTGGCTAAATAAATAAACTAATGCTCCACAGTACAATCCATCCATCCATCCATCCATTTTCATCCGCTTATCCGTTGCCGGGTCACAGGGGCAGCAGTCGCCACCCAGATCACACTGCACCGTACCAACCCCCCTAAACCTTCCTGTGGGTGGTGAGTCCACTGGAAGGTACCAACCGCCCTAACCGGGATTCGAACTTGCCCAGGAGGTGAACCCTGGGGTTCCACACCAATGACAGAGACATTGGCTCTGGGCCAAAGCGCCACTCCACAGTACAATGTTTAACCAAAAAAATTCACAACATTTTATTTATAATCGGTCATATTTGGTCAAGACGAAAAAAATAGAGAACTGTAAATGGGATGCTGCTGTATGAAGCACAAGAAAAATTGTTTCAAGGGCAGAGGGCACTTTTTAAGGTCTGGTTAAAGGACGCACTGACACAAAGTCACCACTTTGTGTCAGTACAATGTTTTTTCAGTTTTAAGTATTAAGAACAGTGATTAGTGAGAACACTGGTAGTCTTTTTGTCATTTGAAATAGTCAACAAATTCTCTATTGTAGTTTTAATTTTTTTTAAAACTTTTTTCTGCAATTTTCTAAAAAAAAGTGTGTAGGAAAATAAACGCAAATAAAAACAAACGCTGCGTATTAAACTACATTACAGATATAATTACCCTGCAAGACTTTTATGATGGACAAGCCATAACTTTTTAATTTCTTTTTTTTTTTAACAAAAAGCAAACAATATAACTTTAGTGTGAAAATATAACAATATAACAACAAATATAACAAACAAAACAAAACTACAGCACAATGGTTCTTCGAGACCCAAACCACACATCCAAAGAGCTTGGCAATTTGAAGCAGAACATAGACCATGTTCTATGTTGAGTGAAAATGTCTTTGTGTTTTACTGTAATCAACACAGAGCAGCACTCAGAAACGGACGTGCAAATGAGATGCCAACAAAGTCACACGACAACAAGACACATCCCTGTCACTGGCTGCACGTGTGTACATTTGATTTTCACCTAGAACCAAGAGCAAATGTCTAGAATATCCATTCACCACCACCACCTTTTCAAAAACACTTCTTTGTCCACCAACTTTTTATTTATCGTTTGCCTGACTGTAGCATCTAGTCAGCAGCAGGGGTCGTACCCTGACACAGGACATGGCCCACATACAGGCTTTCCGACAATCCTCTGGTGTACAGTATCTGGTTGTTCCTGAGAAGTCTGCACTAACAGCTACAGTTCTGTCAGTCACACAGCATCGCTGCTCCTTCCTCGTCTGTGAGTCCCAAACCCACAACTTACAACTTCCTCTGTCGCAGACTCTTCCCTGATTTACACACATCCTCGTTTCACTACAAACATAACCTTCTACGGTGAGATCATTCACACTTTTCTTTCTTTTTTTTAACCCTTTAAGGAATCACGTGCTCCTCGAGAGGCAAAACAGACATCCTAGAAGACTTAACGGTTAGCGTCGGTTAGCAAAACATCTAGCTTTATGCTGCTTACTGGGTTTAAGAAATGTATCTTAAATTGACATGTTAAGTCAGCAGAGACTGAGGTGAGGGGGTAAAAAAGAGAATTGAACGCATATTGAAATGCTATAGCTGATATAGCAGCATAGTATTTTAACCTTTGAAACAAAATAACGTAGTGTAACTTTAAATAATAAAAATGGTTCTGCAGCAAAAAACGAGTTTGCTTAAGGATAAATCAAAAACAACATGACGGGGGGTCCTCGCTTTACGACGTCCTCGACCTACGACCTTTCACATTCTGCACATAAAGTTTTAAAGACATTTTTCCCAAATTTCTTCATTCTGACGAGCAATATGGCTCTGTCTCCATTTGTTTTTTTTTAAACTTTTTACCCTTCATTATAGATCAAAAGTCTTAGTCAGGCTTGGGCAAACTAAGGCCCGGGGGCCAGATGCTGCCCGTTCAGCTTTTTTATCCGGCCCTCCAAACTTTTCCAAATGATATAATTTAATTATATTATCATTATACTTACTGCCTTTTCCCTGCAATACCCAGGTTTCCCCAATAGATGGCGTAGAAAATGATTAAAGCATTTTAGCATTTTATCCTTTATGCATGACTTTTACATGTCATTTATCTAAGTTTACATGAACTCTCCATCTATCTGCTCCTGACCCGGCCCCCCCGTTCAATTTTAGGACAATTGTGGCCCGCAGGTCCAAAATTGCTGCCCCCTGTCACTAACTCCAGGTAAAATCAATAGTTTCCCGGCCTAACAGTTTCCATTTTCCTACATATTTTGCAATATGTAATTAAATGTTCATTCAGATTTACATCACCGCTACGAACTGAACCCCGATGTAAGTCGAGGACCCTCTGACGGAACCATCAGCAACTGCATGAAGTTGCAGTAACAAAAAATCAGTCAAATGTGGCAATGCAGTAAATGCAAATGGGCAGTAGGTGGGGTTGTTCTCATTTCCATTAAGAGAGTTAAGTCATTCAAGAGACAGTCAACACTCATGCTCAGAGATGAGCTGATCCAGCCCCACCCCCACTCCTTTAGCCTTTTGATTTTCCTTTGGGTTTGAACAGTTTGCCAACTTTGAGGTTGCTGGAGGAAATTCCCACCTAAAACTCTCCGGCAATTTGATGACATATACAACCAATTAACGACTGCCAATGAGAACAACCATGCTTTGTCACAGACTCATACATTCCTGTAGATCTTAATGATGTCTCTGATTGTTCTCCTGCAAATGGGACAACAAGCGTTAGACATTTTCTTGAGTTTGAGGCCACAGGAGTAGCAGAGACACATGTGTCCACAGGCGTAGAGGACGGTGTCCACCGCGTTCTCGTAGCAAATGGTGCAGTCGTCACCCCACGAGCACGAAGACAAGGTGAGGGACTCCGACTGGCTGGAGAACGGAGAGGACGGCGTCGTCTCTGAGGTGAGGGGGTGAGAGAAGACATTAAGAAGGTGTGACTGAAAGTGAGACGGCAAAAACAAAATGAAAAACTGTCAAAAGAAAACAGAGGCAGGCTTTGAGCTGAACAACACGCACTGACACCATCCGCTCTCGGTATCACAGATCTGACGGCGCTTTTATTCAGCTTGTCAATATACTGCCAACTGTTACTCTGCGCTAATAAAGTGTCCAAAACATCTTAATGGAGAAATACCTGAGTCTGCACAGCAATTGCGACTCCCTCCTCCATCACCATCCAGGACTTTTTCCTGTCACGGTGACTGCAGTGATTTCAGGGATCACTGCTTCACATCACTAAGGTAAATATTTGCTTCACGCGCAAACTTGCATATCTTAGCGCTGCTTAGTCAGTGTTCGTGAGCCTATGGCTGTTTTATTGCTTTCCTGCGTGTCAGCATTTTGATCGTGTTCATAAACAAAGATGTGATAAACACAGAAGAAAAAAATTATGACAGTTTAGACAAGGAATGCAACGCACATGTAAATGCTCGAGTTTGGAGACCAGTTTTTTTTTTAGATCTTCTAAATGGGGTTTTGGGGATTATTAGTTTGGTCTTATTGTTGACAGAATGGCGTCACCGCGGGGTAAGTGGAGGGGAGGGATGATGGACGACAAGGGGACAAGACGCATGAATAAATGTGACCACATGGGCAAACCTGTAGGGGGAGAAATGACTGCGTGATAGCTGGAGCTGAAGCTTGAATTGAGGTTGATGTTCAACGGCATGTCAAGGACAGGCTCTGAGTTGCCACTGCAATGCGTTGTAAAGGTGCTGGCATTGCATGATGGCGAGTTGGGCGCAGACAGTCCTCGGATGTCTGGGTGCTGAGAAGAGCCTGCAGGTGCAAAAGACAGACGAGACAAGTCGGGTTCACAACTCAGATTAAACTGGAAGAATGTCTGATCATCAGAGATGCTGCCGAAAATGTTAAACCCTGAAGCGACTAAAGCATATGGACAGGAGGCCCTCGATTTACGACATCGTCGACCGACGGCGTTTGTGGTCACATCACCATCTCCCATTAATTTATAATAAAAGTCTTGTTCCATCGTTACGACAAATGGCTCAAAAGTGGAGTGGACATATGTCGTCAGGTAGTGCAATATGTGGACAACAGCTTTGTTTACATTGGCCATACATTGGATTTTGATATATTCGCTTTCCTTCATTTGTGTTTTTTTTTGGGAACTTTTTGCCCTTCATTATGGCTCCCAGGCGTAAATCAGAATATTCTGATGTTTTTATCTCCTAGAATATGATGAGATTACGAATTCCAATACTGCGCTGTAGTAACGGAACTCCGAAGTAAGTCGAGGACCCCCGTACTGTAATTTGACAATGGTTGACATCTTGTGCCAAAGGCAGATCCTGGATGTCAACAGAGCAACACAAATAGTGGCATTGTTTAGAGTGGTGGTTCCCAAAGTGGGTTGACGGGTCCCGCTAGGTGGCACAGAAATTAGGTAGGTAGCAAATTAGTATCAATTCAAATTTTTGTGGCCAAGGAACCTGCCATAGAACAGCTGGCTGTGGTGAAAAGCTGTTAGTATGGATCGCTGGATCACAAGTATTTGGAGTATCGTTACAAGGTAACCTGCTGAATAAGAAACCTTCAAGAATATTAGACAGACGACCCTCACATTCTCACACCTCACCTCTGCCTCAACTCTCAGAGGGTGTATTCCAAGTATTCAGTTCTGGCTTTGTCTTTTTCCTTTTAAATAAGAGTTTAAGAGATTTACCAGACTGCTGCGTTTTTGGAGTAAATACCAACATTTTTTGGAGGCCTGACTGGAACAATCCAGATCCAGTTTGATTCTGTCTAGACTCCATGAGTGGTGTTTTCTTGTCAGGACCCTCATGAGGCTGTGACTCTAAGCTGCTCCCCAAATTACCGACGTGGCATTGATTCTAATACTGATGTGACATCTCTTCTCACAGATAAACATCCTGGCCCTGAGTGCATAAACAGACCCCGCACTGTTGTTTACTTCCTGTCCTCCACTCACTCAGCTGGCAATTTGCTTGGCACCGCTACCCTTCCATTTGTCAAACTATGTCATCTTGGTAGTTTACATCCTACCCTGGCAGTTGTGTTATTCAAA